GAATTCGATTGTTTTTTTTAATTCATTTATCGTATTCAAAAATTATGTTAATCTCTCTTCTTACAGCACCGTTCAAATATGTTATACGTGAGACAAGAACTAGTATATGTTAGTATTAAAAATACAGGAATAAAGGTGTAAAAAGAAAAATTATATTTAATATTACATTTAATACATAGTACGATAGATTAAAAATTATTTTGAAATACGATAGATAAACAAGACGTAGGTAGTACTACTGTTGTACAGTAACATGAAAGTCAATGATAGAATGATTCTCTTCCTTTTCCACTTTACAATTTTGCCAAATCTGGTCCTATCACGACGAATGTCCAAATTATTCTGCATCAACTTAAGATTTTGTGCATTCTAATTTAGGAAAAATTGGCTGATCCACTTAAAATTTTATGTGTTGTCAATATTATCCTTTTTTCGGTTAATTAATATTATCCTAATTCATCCACATTAGCCGATTTTGTCCAATTTGCCCAATTTCCGTTTAACTTTACAGAATTTTGTTAGTTTTATTTATAAAAATATCCTAATAGTTTCAAAAATTATGAAAATAACCCAACAAAATTGTAAAAATAACAAAATAGTCTCTTTTTACTTTTTTATTTAATTTATTCTGTTTTCTTTTTATGTCTTTTTATTGTTTTCACAACTATAAAAATACACTATATGATCTATTAAAGAAACTATTTTTTTTTTAAACTCTATTATACAAATTTATAGTTACATATTTGTAATTCATGGTTGATTTACATAAGCATATTAATTTTTTTAATTAATATTTTTTAACAGTAATGATACTTTTAATAATTTTTTTTCAATCTAAAGAATAAAATTATTTAACTAAAACTAATTTCTCACAAAAAATTTTTTTTAGCATAGATTAAAAAATAATTTATTGGTTTATTTTAGTTTATTATAATTTAACTCAACAAACTACAAATTATATTATACAATCCAAAAAAATGATTAAACTAAAATAGTTTTTTTAAAAAAAGGCCAAGTACGAACAGAAAGTAAAAAAAAAAAAAAACTATTTCATTTTTACATTGACCCAATACAAGAATATAGTGTTGTGGCATTTACGAAAATGGTAAAAAATATTTTATAAAAAAATATGTATATTTATCATTGTGAGGGTTTAACATTCTGTGATAATTCTTTGAGATATTAATATATCTCAATTGAGCATGAAGTCTTTTTTTTAAAAAAAAATAGGAACATCTACTCCGATATTGGAATCCATTATATATATATATATATATACATATATATAATTGATGGCCTCAGTGAAAATCGAATTCTCAAACTTCTAGTAATAATCATCTCACATCTTAAATCCCCTAACTATCCAATCCAACTCTCTCACCTCCAATGGATCTCACTTAAATGTGTGTAAAACCTCTCTTCCGGTTAGAAACCCTTTTTTTGAGAATTAATCTTCGATCTACTCTCATGAAACTGAACACCTTAAACACTAGACTGTTACTCAATTTTCACTATTGCAGGAAGTCTTATAATTTTATATTAAAATAAATAAATGAAGACAATAATATAGTGATAAGTTGTTGAAAGATAGGATAAATGTTGGATTGGGAAAGAAAAAATTATGTTTGGAGAATTTTTTTAGGATTTAAATAATTAATATTTTTGTTTAATTAATTTTTTTTTAATTGTATTAATATAATCTATACTTAAACAGATGAACTCTACTATTATAGCATTGATTCCAAAAATAGATTCTCCTATAATGCTTGCTAGTCACTTTAGGCCAATATCGTGTTGTAATGTGCAATATAAATGCATTTCTAAAATTCTTTGTAATAGACTGAAATGTGTTATGCCTAGTTTAGTTGATGAGAATTAGAATGCATTTGTTAAAGATAGGGTGATACATAATATTTTGATTACTCAAGAACTAATTAGGTTATATAGAAGGAAGGGGATCAGTGTTAGGATTTTGATGAAGATTGATATTAAAAAAACATATGATTCGGCTGAATGGAGTTTTGCGGAGGATGTGTTGTTAGGATATGATTTTCCTGAAGGATATGATCATGGCTTGTGTTATGTCACCCTCGTATTCACTGTCAGTTAATAGTTGCTCTACGAGATTTTTTTCTTTCGAAGCGAGGACTTAGACAAGGTGACCTCGTTTTGTCCCTTTTATTTGTACTTGTAATGGAATACCTGTCCAGAAGTTTGAAAATGATTGCAGAATTAGGCTTTAGGTTTCATCCATTAGGTGAATTTAGAAAATTATGGGGTTTTTTTAATGAATTTAGAAAGACCATAGGATTGGAAGCAAACTCTCATAAATCCTCAGTTTACTTTGGTGGAGTAGGGCAGAAGTTACAAGATGAAATATGTTTAATTACCGGTTTTCCAGTTGGGTCTTTTCCCATAAAGTATTTAGGTGTTTCTTTATCACTTAAGAAATAGTCTGAGATTGAATGTCAGGAAATTATTAATAGAATTGTGACTTGAATTAAGTGTTGGAGTACTAGGCAACTTTTATATGCTGGAAGGTCGATGCTAGTTAACTCTGTGTTAATGGCAATGCATTCATACTGGGGATCTATGTTCATATTGCCACAAGGGGTCACTAGCATGGTTAATAGAATATGCATAGAGTTTTACTAGGGGGTGAAAGAACATGGCAGGGCTATTTCCTTGGTAAGCTAGGAAGAAGTGTGTAAGAAGAAGGATAAAGAAGGATTAGGGATAAGGGTTGCAGTTGTGTGGAACAGGACAGCCATTCTAAAGCAGGTTTGTCAATAGCAGAAGGGAAGGATGCCTTGTAAATACTGTGGATCCATGGAGTTTATATAATAAATTCTTCTTTTTAGGATGTTTAGCCTAAAAACGACTCAAGTTGGCAGGTTCTGAAAATATGTGATATTTCGAAAGAAGGATTTAAGGGGATCAAGTGGAAGGCAACTCGTATTGGAAAGTATACGATTTTTTTTTTATACAATTTTTACAAGCACTTATGTTATTACACGACTGAGTCTGGGGAAGGGCACCTACTACTAGCCTAGTCTAATGGTAGACGACTTCACGTCTGCAACGTCTCTTTTTGCACGTCCATCAGGTGCTTGAAGATCTTCCTACCGCAACCTGCAAAGAAAGACAACATTTTCGCTGCCGTAGGGTTTCAAACCCGGGACCTCTGAGTTGGATGCCATCCCCTTTACCACTTGGGCTACCCCCTATTGGTGGAAAGTATACGATTAAATCGAGGTATGATTGATTAACTGGACAGGGTGAGAAAAGGTTGGAGTATAATTGTATTTGGCCCCGTATGAACTTGCCGAAACATGCTTCTATAGCGTGGTTAGCTTGGAAGAAAAGGTTCCTTACTAGAGATAGGCTTGCAGCAATGCAGTTGATGGAGTTTGACATGAACTGTATTCTCTGTAAGCAGTGGCTGAAATCATCTGAACACATTTTCTTCTAGTATGAGTTTGCTAAGGAGCTGCTGGAGAAAATTGTTGGCATGACGGGGTGTAAAAAAAGTCAGTTGTGGAGACAAGATAGAAACATCAAATCATGAAAATATGGAAAGGACAGAAGCTGAGAAGGAAGATACTGTGGACTGCATTCACTGCATCTGCCATTTATGGGAAAAAAAGAAATAAGAGATTGTTTCAGAATCAAGAAAAAGAGCTTGATGGCATTCTAAAGGTGATCCAGATGGAGCTGCAATATAGAGTTCTGATCTGTCATAGAGGGAAAAAATAGAAGGAAAAAAAGATTCTAAAGCAGTTTTTCAAGTTGTAATGTTGTGTAGGTTGTTTGACCTAGATCAGGTTTGAACATAGTGATTGTTATATGGTGTGATAATGTATTATCTTTCTATAAGCAAAGAGGTTGTGGTTTCTGTAGTTTTTTAGGCAAAGCTAAGATGTAAATAGAGTATATACTTGATTTTTTGCTTTGGTGATTGTGTTAATATGGGCTTGTCTCGCCCCCTCCCGGTCAACTCATTTTGTATTATCAACTCATTTTACCTCTTAAACACAAAACTCAATGCAAAACAAACAATCGTCCAAACAACTTTCTGATTTACATTTTAAAATCAAACTTGCAACATTTTGTTAGTGTAGTGACCATCTTTGGAACTACAAATTAGTTTAGTGACCATTTTTGGAACTAAAAATTAGTTCAGTGACTAAATCCAAAACTTTGCACCTTTTTTTATCCATTGTTTAGTGATCATTTTTTAAACTCTTTTTTTTTATAGTGACTAAAATTTACACTTTTCGATTGTTTAGTGATATTTTTCGTACTTGATATTTGAATAGAAAACAACTTTTTACTAAAGATACCATCCAAACAATTTTTTCATCTCCCATTATTATTTTCACTTAAAACACTTTTCACATTCAAGTCGAACATGAAAATAAAATTGACGTCCAAACAAGCACTATATATTTACCTTTTCACCCAAAAATGAGCTATAACATTTAGAAATTTGGTGTATCAAGATTGGAGTACAAAGATATATAGGACCTGTTTGATATAATGTTTAATTTTGAATAAATAATACTGAATTAGAAATGTTAAATTCATTAAGTAATTACAAGTTAAACTATAAGCTAACTTTTGTTGTTCATTATATTTTGTACTGCAGTTTCAACACTACTTAATGCAATGAAAAGTTTACTTTTTGTTATCAAACATACTGAAATAAATAAAATATTTAATTGAATAATTTTGGGCAATAAATGGTGTTATCAAATAACCTCTTAGTATAAAAAGATACCTGGAATATTTTATTTCTATACTCCCTCCATTTTTTTAACATATATAGTTTTAGAGTTTATAAGAGTTTTCAAAATATTAGTTGTTTTAAAAAATCGAGGCAACTTTTATCATATTTTTCCAATATTAACCTTACATTAGAAATAAAAATGACATTTAAAAGAAATTGTATTGGTTAGTGATGAGTTAATGAAAAATAAATAAGAGTAATTTGCATTTTAAATACATGATTAAATATTTTATTGGTATTGATAAAATTGCTAAAAAGACATATTTAAAATGTAAAGAGTATTAAATTTGTTGCAAATTATAGTGCAATAATTAGAGTTGATCTAACTAATTACCCTTTGCCCTGCCAAACCATGCACACAAAACCACGAAAAGTGCAAAATGACATCAACTTGGGAAAGTCTACTAACTCAAATACAATATACTTAGCATCACTTATGCATATCGCAAAAACCTAGATCAAAATTTTTTTCAGCATTTATCCATAATTGGAACTAATCGATTTATTGGGAGTTTGCAAGTCGTTTTTTGGCCATGCCAGGAAGCCATCGCTCGCCTCTAATCTTTTTCAGTTCCACAACTCGTTCTTCCTCTCTCTTGGCTGCTGCTTTGCCAGCCGCTTCTTTTCTTTCCAGTTTTGTCCGTGCTTTATGGCCTGCATCTCTAGCTGCGGATAATATATCTACACCATTGACTGCCACAGACTGAAGCTGTCTTTTAAACTGCTCAACCAAATAAGACGATAATCAATGTACGGTAGTCAAAGCAGATTAACCAGTACATATTACATATCAGAAATTCAAAAAAGAAGGAAAAAAAAATACCTTCTTGGATTTTTCATCTATTTCGTCTCCAGGAAGTAGTTTTGGTTTCTTGCTTGGTCTTTGTACTTCATCTACAACGAAGGAGGGAAATGCAGAGAGGAATAATTAGACGACGAACATCACAGGATGAATAATTTGGGCTGTTTCCTAGTTTCAGATACCACAACAATAGACTCGTTATATTTCCAAGTCAAAATCAGGATGAGCAAAATGTAAATATTTTTCAAGAAAGAAAGGAAAAAACATAGAAGAAAAGAAAATATTATTTCCAACTAGTGGTACCCCATGAATAAGTCTGCATAAGCCAGGAGAAAGTTATAGAATAAGAGCTTGGTACACTCAGAAAACTATTCAAAGAACACATGCATAGGAATCAGTGAAGGTACCAAAGAAACAAGAACAACAATAACAAATCATCAGCTAATATATTCCCGAAAAGCTGAAATCTCAAAAGGTTCTGAAATCTTTCTACCAAATTACCAGATGCACATCCTGATCTGCAAAATTTTTAGAAGCAATTCCCACAAGAAAAAAAGAGCTATGATAATTTATAGCAAGATGGCAGCTAAAGGTACAGGGTTGATGAAAATTAATAAAACCAGCAGTACTAAAACAGCTGCAAAGGCATTCAGTAGTCATCTTCATATTCTTTAGTAGACACCACCACAGATATATCATGACATGATAATACAAGTCATAAAATAAAAAGATGGACATTTTCTTACCAATATAATCGAACACAATCCCGCGAGGAGCGTGCTTAAATAAATGAACTCCACTTCCATTATCTGAATCTTCAGCTGGCAGCGAACTTGAGCTACTACAGACCACTTCTAAGGACTTCTCCAAGATATCATTGAGAATCTTTTGAGCCTGTTTAAGTTTCACATTATGCATCAGCCAAACTCAAAAGTCTGCAATTCTGAATTACGGTTCATGATATCCTAATCTTTTTCATTCAGGCACAGATGAAGATATGCAATCCCATGATTAAGATAAAATCAGTATACAGGTAATGAGAAGGTTGTGATTGAAAAACTGAAAGACCTAAAGAGAAAGCACTTCAACTTTGGACTTAAACATTGAACAAGAAGCTAATGGAGCTAGTGAATCAAGCAGTAAGTCACCCACCTACTCATCTTCCAAATTAGTTGACAAGAAGTGCCAATGTGGGGGAGGAAGTTTCATAAAATTGCATTACCTGACAGCAGGACAACTATATAAATGCATAAAATATCTTCCATAGTTGCTTTCATGTAAAGCTTTCTATATGGTAAGACGTAAACAAGTGCGTAGTCATACGGTTAACTAATGATTCAATTCTATATGAGGGCATTTAACATACTTCAAGTAGTGAGTTGAGTGTCACCACTGAGTAACTAGTGTTACACTAAGAGTATTACAGAAAATCTTTTAACTCAGAGATGGAATTGCCAACATCCCATATCCCAAACTATCATGAAAATCGCTTATTACACCCTACAATCAACAACATTTTACCCTTCTTCTCAGAACTGGGTAGAGCTAAAACACTTAACAAAACCCCATCTCCCTAAAATTCGGAACCAAGGTTATGCTTGTTTCCTGATTTTTCATTCAGCCAAAAAAGGCTCAACTCCTTATGGAAAATAAAAGCCAATCATCTAAACGCTTATTTATTCATCATTCAATTCCCCATTTTCAAATTTAGAGTCCCTCTATAAAATTTCCCAGAACGAGATTCTATTTCGCCCTCAAGAATCGAACTTCTCTAAGAAAACAAATATACGTCCTCCATAATTTTTCACTTTCCAAACCAAGGAGAATTTCTCAATAAACTAAGTTGCCCAACTAAAATGTAAAAAAGTCTGAAGCTGACACCATTATGCTATTGATCAAAAACTACAAATTCAACAATTAAGCAATGCATTCAAAGCATCTACGAGGAATTAAAATAAGAGCGCAAGTGTAATTGAAGAAGGTAAATACCTATACCTTGATTTGATAATGTTTGAGCTGGTTTTGGGATGTATGGTTGTCTTCATCAGGTAGAGACGAGCTTTTCACCGCGCCGCCGGTGGCGGTGGCGGCGGTTGTCAAAGGGAGGGAAGTAACGGAATCAATGGCGGCCTTCCACTGGGCATCTCCATCTTCTCCACTGCTACTACTACTGCAACTCATCTCTCACCAAGTGCTGGGCTGGCAGTCCAATCCGTTCAATTTTACCTGTTGGTTTGAATTATTTGGGCTTTTAGATTTACACAATTTGGCCCAATTTCTTAGGGGCCGCAAAGATCGATCCATACAAAAAGATAAAAATCGGGAACCACGTACAAAAAGCAGGATGCGGATCGATGACGTGGCGTAAAATTTCACGTCCCGCCTAAATCCCCGAACCCGGGAAATTTTCAGTAAAACTTTTTCGTATTTATTTATTTATTTTTTTAATTTTGGGGGTAAATTCAGTCTCTATATCCCATCTTATAAATATCGGCCTTCACCAACAACCCTAGGTATCGCTATTTTCAACCCCACAGTGATTTTGAAATTTTACAATAAATTAAAAATAAATTCAAATATCACCGCATCTGTTTCAGGTAAAAATCAATCGATTTTTTTTTTTTTTTTTGGGTTCAAAAGAAACACTGTTCTTCTCTTCTGAGTCCACCATTTGTTTCAATTTCATAATACTCTTCAAATTTTTCGGAGTTCTCAGAGATAATTTCTATGGCGAGAGGCAAATCCAAGGCGGAATCCGGTGGCGCAGACCATAAGTGAGCTATTTTGCTTCTTTTTTTTTTTTTTTGGGTGCGAAACGCGTTGTTATTATTGTTAATTTGCTTTTTATCCGTTGTTATCGATTTGGACGGTATATATATTTTAATGTTGTTGTTGAAAATAGCGTTGCGGCGAAGAGGAGGAAACCGAGGAAGGAGAAGAAGGCGAAGGATCCTAATAAGCCTAAGAGACCTGCTAGTGCCTTCCTTGTTTTCATGTCAGTTGATTTTTCGCCTCATTCGATGTTTTTGATTTGATTTTGTTTTTTCCTGGCGAGTTTTTAAGTTTCTGGTACTGATTTTGTTTTTTTTTTTTTTCAATTTTTTTTTCCTTCCCAGGGAAGAGTTCCGCAAGCAATTCAAAGAAGAAAATCCAGAAAATAAATCAGTTGCTGTTGTGAGTATATCAAAAACCTTATTCTGAGCGATGTTCTGTTACTGTTTTCATTTTTCTTGTAAATTTTTCTGACTTATGTAATGTGTATTTGTCATTTATGTAATAGGTTGGTAAAGCGGGTGGAGATAAATGGAAGTCCCTGACTGATGAGGTAAACAATGGCATTTTTCTGTTGTTTCTACTTGATAATTTTTGCAATGTGTTTGTTTTGTGCACTCGTTTTTGTAGCTTGCACGGAATTTGATTTTGTAGTACTTTTTCTAGTGTTTTGATGCAGTTGAAATGATATTTAGTTTCCTTTTGAAGATTAAGGAATAAAACTTCAGTTCTTAGTTTGAACGTTTAAAATTTCAGGAAAAAGCTCCTTATCTGGCCAAGACAGCAAAGCGAAAGCAGGAATATGAGCGCCAAATGCAAGCCTATAATAAGAGATTGGTACAGTATATTTTCACTGTCTTCTGTGAACTGCTTTCTTTTTTGACATTGCTTGTTACTTCCATTTTGATGTGGTTTTCTGTGCTGTGATTTATCTGTTACAAGTTTAACTCATTATTAAGAGTAGGTTCCAAAACTTAAGTCACTAAATATTTTAACCCTGGTTATATAATTTGGTGATGTAGAGTTCAATATTCTTGCTGATTTCAGTTGTGGAGTTTTATATTTGACTTCATTAATGGTTTGAATACACTGTTTTGTGCTGTTTTTGTAGGTTTGTGAAGCTAATGAATCCACATTAGTTATCCTTTAGCAGTTGGTCTATAGTTGACTAATCATCATTTATTTGCTGGGCTTTTATTTTGATCTTTACATGGTCACTATAGAACATAATGGTAGTACTCCGATTTTATTTACTGAATCAGTAATATGAAAAAGGAATAATCCAGACTGGTTAATTTAATACAACTAGGGAGTACTGCTGATATTTGGTAGTTAGTGTCAAATCTGACTAAATTAATGTTTTCAATGTTGTCCTGTATTGTAAAACCTTAGGAGGGTGGTCATGATGACGAATCTGACAAGTCCAAGTCTGAGGTTAATGATGAGGAAGATGGCAGTGGAGAGGTTTGTTCTGTTTGAGCCCTCAGATAATTTGCAATCTTTTAAAAGCTCATTCCATTATGTGTGAATTGATTGTCGTTGGTTTCTGAATATTTGTAGGAGGAAGAAGGGTAATGGTGAGCATTTGAAGCAAAAGCTCTTATAGCATGATGTAAAAATCCAGATGATGCCATAACCTCACTTGCCATTGTTAGATCATTTTGGATTCCATTTCTTCTGGCAGTGGAATAATAGATAGACTGGTAGTTTTGCAGGATCGGATATTCTTCCTGATTGTAGTTTCTTTTCAGACAGCGTAGTAATTAACTAATGCTTTCTCTTCTTCGTAGTTTCTGGGTGGAATTATCTCCTAGTATTTTGAATGTTTTCTGCTGCAGCATCCTTCTAATTGACTTTTATCGTGTCTTGTTGGATTGGAATGGAAATACCTTGAGATTGAAACAAGAAAAATGCACCTCGAAAGAAAATTCAGAGGGACAATAAACTAAATGTGTTTTTCATATTTTCCATTTGGGTGATCCTTTCTTAGGGTGAAAGTTCTTGAATTTTCAGGCGTAAGCTACTCAGTGTGAAATTGTGAATGAAAATTCAACTCGAACATGTGACTCTAAGGTGGAAAATTGTCTGGCTTTTTCATAGTTACTGGAAGGAAACTGCATAGAATTGAACTACGGTTTACACGCGCTAAACTTGTACTACATTTTATTAACCAGTATAGAAATATTAGGCCCAGAACTTTGTTGCAATGAGATATTAGGTACAATGGTTTTGATCACAACTTAGCAATAGATGCCATCGAGAAATTTCCGAGAAACACTAGGAAGTATCGACTACTGTGATTTGTGAATGTTGTTTTCATTTCAACATAGTAAATAGTATCCGAATGATACACGGAAGTGAATCAAATGGCAGAAATATCTGTTTCATCCGTCTTAGAAAAATACTTCACTCACCTAAGCTTAAATATTATAACAAACAGAACTGTTTTTTTTTTTTTTTGGAGCCGATGAAGTATTTTTCATGGCTACAAGAGGTACGTCATACTAACAGTACAATAGTGACGAAATGTGGGACAATGATCTCCATAATTACGTGAGGAATTTGGCATGGTCCATGACTCCATGTCAATGTATTGGCTGGAAAAGTAGACATTAGACAGTAAAAGACAAACACACTCATTCTTTTAGGTCTGGCTGTGATTCCTTCGTAGTGGGCTCCAAGTTAGAAGCTTCAACCTTGGTTTAAGGTGGACTCTGGGTCAACGTCAACCAATTCCACAAAACTGAAGTCTTCAGCCAGCTATTTCCTTCCTCTCAGCAGAGTCTATATTTTGGACAAACTAGCCATGAAGTTGCCCAGAACCGCATTGTGAATCCCATCTATAAATAGTTAGTCACATCTTTTCAATATCAATAATTTTAGAGATCTGAGCAGAGCAAAAGTCTAAATCTTTTTTTTTTTTTTATCAATGGCGTTTAGAGCAGTGGCATCAGTGGTGATACAGAAGCTCACTGATATGCTAACTCAAGAATCAGTGATCAATGAAAGAAGGCTGGTGAATGAGCTGAAGAGAATCAAGAAAGCCCTTGAGACGATGGAAGGATACTTTCTGGATGCAGAATCGGAGTCGAAGAGATGCAATGCAGAAGTCAAGGATTGGGCTGAAACGTATCTGAAGCATCTTTACCAAGTGGAAGATGCTATCGAGACTTCCGCGTCGCGGTTTCCTTTACGGAAGGGGACATTTGTTGGTAAGCTGGTTAAGCTTACTTTTGGTTTAGCATTTCTGAAAAACTATCGCCTCTGCAGGAAGATGAAGAAGATAAGGTACCAAATTGATGGGCTCAACCGCATTAGGCCACTCGGGTTGGACGATCTAAGTGTTAATTCCACACCATTGTCTTATCAGAACAATAACTTTGAAGCATTAATCGCTACTAATGTTGCTGTGGATCACCCTATATCATCAGTAGATGAAGATGAGGACCACGCAAGTGAATCCTCCAATCGTGCTGATTCAATAAGGGGGAGGCTGACTTTTGAGGATCGTCCGGTTATGAATGGAGGAGGAAAACTGAGGATTATGAGCAATGCCTCTGTTTTTGCAGACCGGATCAATCAGTCTAAGCTCATCTTCAACTACTCATTTGATGAAGAAGGGTTGGACATTCTTGCTTTCAAGCAAGATGTAATTTCCCTTGCGCAGAAACTTACTGATATCGGTAGTGATGGTGGTAGCCGGGAAGTTGTCTCGATTGTCGGGGAAAGGGGCTCCGGCAAGACCACACTGGCTCGTGCTGTTTTTGGGAACAGACAAGTGAAGGATCATTTTCAGTCTTGTACTGCCTGGGTGACTGCATCAAGAACATCATCCAATGCAACGGCAGATCTCTGGCTCAAGCTGTTGAGAGAGATTAGCAGTTCCCAGGACAATGGAGGAGGTGATCCTGAACAACTGAAGCTTAAGGTTCATGATCTCTTGAAGGACAAGCGATATTTGGTAGTCTTGGATGATGTGGAGAATTTGAACATGTGGGATGATCTACGAAGTGCGTTTCCTGATCAACAGCAGAATGGAAGTAAGATTTTGCTCATCACTTGTGAGAAAGCAGTAGCAACTCATGCTGACAGCCAGCTACACTTGAAGAAGCTGAATGATCATCTCACTTGGAGTTTGTTCTTAAAGAAGGCAGGCCTGGTCAATTATCCTGAAGAAGACCTGAAGACTCGAATTCTTCAAATCTGCAATTGCTTGCCGCTGAACATAGTCCTTCTTGGCAGTCTCCTCTCAACAAAAGAGCATGACAAGTGGGGAGATTTACTTCACAGCCTGGCGAATTGGGGGACCTTGGACCTGATTTCATTTTGCTATGATGATCTCCCAGACCATCTGAAGCTGTGTCTGATATACATGGTACTTTTTCCAAAAGAGTTTGACATTCCTGTTCGCCGGTTGCAAAGGCTATGGCTGGCCGAAGGTTTTGTGAAGCAGTCATCACGTGAAATCTTCCAAGAGGATGTTGTGAAGGGATATTTTGATGAGCTTGTGAAGAGAAGCTTGATCCAGGTTTCCAAATTGACATCCGATGGCAGTCCTAAAAGATGCAGATTACTTGGAGTTCTCCACGACCACTTGATTCCCAAGTCTCAGGTTATTAGTCTTTTCCATGTTCATAATAAATATTCATGCACCAGTTGTCCTGGTGCAGATTCAGTTTTCAATCGTAGGCTTATTGAGTACACAGATATTAAGCAATGCTCCCTCAAGCCCACAGATCTTGGAAGTTTGAGGTCCTACTTGTCCTTTAACATCCAAAAAAAGGATATTCCCGCCGCGGAAGTTGGCAAATTTCTTAGCAGTATCTTAAGCAATGGTTTGAGATTGCTAAGGGTTCTTGATTTGGAGGGGGTGTACAAACCCACCTTGCCTGATAACCTTGGTGATTTCTTCCATTTGAGGTATTTAGGACTGAGATGGACTTTCTTAGATACATTTCCGGAATCCATTGGCCGTCTCAGTTATTTAGAAACTTTGGACATTAAACACACTCTTATCAGTACCTTGCCCCCATTCATTTGGAAGATGAAGCATCTGAAACACCTCAATGCCAATGGGAATCAGCTTGACTTGCCTGGACACTCCTGCAGCTCATTGCCACAGCTCATGACTCTGTCAGGATTTTCTGTTGATGATAAAAGCTTAGAAAGAGATTGTCTAAAAAGCTTGGTTCATCTTAGAGAGCTGGAACTTACATTTCAGTTGAGCAACTCTGCAGAACTCTTGTGTTGGATTTCTAATTTAACGGCTATACAAGCACTGCGGCTGAGGTCAAAGGATGAAATGGGGCGTCCTTCAAAGCTTTCTTGGATGCCATTATCAAACCTGAAGCAATTAACTCACCTTAATTTGCTAGGAAATCTAGAAAGGTTGCCGGACAAAAACGATTTCCCCCAAGGGCTTAAAGTACTCACATTGGCGGTTTCCCAACTGAAAGAGGATCCTATGCCGATTCTTGGAGAGCTTCCCAACCTGACAGCCCTCAGGCTTTTGGCCAATTCATACCTGGGGACCTCAATAACCTGTCCGGCAGGAGGGTTTAAAGAGCTCAGGGTCCTCAAACTCTGGATGCTGAAGAACTTGGAGCATTGGTATGTGGAGGAAGGAGCAATGGGGAAACTGAAAGAGGTAAACATCAGATGCTGCGACAAGCTAGAAATGATACCCGAGGAACTGCTGCAACAAATCAACGAGTTGACGTTGACCAACATGAGCCCTGAGTTCAAGTCTCAAGTTGAGAGCACAAATCCGATGCACCTGTCCATAATTAGCAATCACTATGACTTCTCGCCATTGCCGGTTAGTTTTCTCCACTTTTCTCCTTTTCTGTTCTACTTGCCTGACAACAACTTCACTTACAATTTTATTTTATTTTATTTTTTATTTTAATCTTTTTGAGGGTCTTTCTGTGCTGCAGTGGGAAAGAGGAAATGGTTCATCTGAAAATGGTCTTTCGTAGATGATGGAAACAAATGAAGAAAGTGATCTACCAAATGAAGAGCTGGTGGGTTTTCCGGCGTTACAACAACATAAATAAAAATGAAGAACTGGCTACAGGAGAAATGAGCTCAGACTCATAATCTGTTGAAACTACTAGTTTTGTTCTTTTATAATGCTTTCATTCCGTCTTTCGACTGAGTGATCAAATTATTTCCGAGATTGAATTGGTGTATATCGGTACTCAGGCTGGTAAAAGAACCTTCTGCGTGGGATGCGCAAATCAACTAATGCTGATGCTTTCTTGTAAAACAAAGAATTGCATTGTTCGTTGTCGATTGTATTCTGCACACTACTTTTCATGTAAACACTCTTTATCTATTTATCAATCAGCCATTCTCTACAGTAAGCGTAAATTTTTACACTTCGCGATCTGAGCATGGCGTCACAAAAGATCAGAAGTGCATGTTAGCCCAGAAAAAAAAAAGCTAGAGAAACTTTCCTTATAATGATGTGCAGTGAATGAATGAATTCCAGATTCACTCTAACCTCAATTTAACAAATCTAACTCAGCAGTAGTTTAGTAGGTACATGCGTTCCCTCAAAGATTGTTATTAATATATATAAGCAAAATCTAACTGATCCATCCTTGTCTTAAAATAGGCAAATGATACTCCCCGGTCCCATTTTAATAGTCCGCTACTTGCAGTTGTTTACTATTTCAGAAACAAAGTGGTGCATCTTTAATAATTGAGTAGCTGAGGAATTGAAATGCAGTGAAACTTCCTTTTGGATCATGGTCCATAAGTCAATAGCTGCTGTTTATTGACATGGTCATGGTGAGTAGAGTAACACATCAGATAGCGAAAGTCAAATGATTGATCATCCAAATCTCATAAGAGGAAAACAATTTCCTGAGTTAGGGATCAAAATTATGTCAGAAGTATTACCCTTTGTGGTGTTCACAGCGAATAAGCTCTCCACATTTCTGAGTGAAGAGGTAAGATTGCTAGGAGGACTTCGCCTCGAGGTTCAGCTCATCAGCGATGAGTTTGGTCATATGAAGGCTTTCCTCCAAAAGGTGTCAGATGCTAATCAAGATGATCCCCAACTTGCTGAATGGATCAAGCAAGTGAGGAAAGTTTCTTATGAAACAGAAGATCTTCTTGATGAATTTCTGTTTCACTTCTTGATGAGTTTGCCAGATCGTCATTGACTGGCTTGCAAGTTGAGAGATATCAAGGCCCGAATCAGAAATATTTCTGAAGCACGTCTTAGGTGCGAATGACCACAATATGACAACATCCTCCCCCAAAATTGGGGAAACCTCGTTTCCAACAATGCTTGGACGCATAGAAAAGATGATGATCCACTTCTCGCGGAAGAAGCTCAACTTGTTGGCATAGATGAGCCAAAACATCATCTCATTTCTCAGCTCCTTGATGTTGAACAGCCACTAACTAAAGTTATCGCCGTTCTCGTCATGGGAGGACTTGGAAAAACCACCCTAGTTAAAAGAGTCCATGATGATGCAGCTGTGAAAAGTCATTTCCAGGTCTGTCTTTGGGTTACCGTCTCCCAAACCTGCGACTTCCAGGGCCTCCTGAAAGGGATGATTCAACAAGTGCTGGCAAAATTTAAGGATCCAGTCCCACCATTGTTGGATTCGATGGATATTTATGAGTTGAAAGCACTTTTGAAGAATTTTCTTCAACGAGGAAGATATGTGACGATGTTTGGGACACAGAGTTCTTTGATGCACTAAAATTTGTGCTGCCTGAGAATTGCTATGGTGGAAATCGTGTAATGATCACAACCCGGAAAGCTGATGTAGCCTCTGCCTCCAGCATAGGAATTCTCAGTTATGTCTACAAAATGAAGTCTTTGAACTTTCAAGACTCCTGGACTCTATTTTGTCAGAAGACATTTGAAAATAAGCTTTGTCCAATGCATCTAAACAGTGTTGCAAAAAGCATCGTTGCAAAGTGTGAAGGTTTGCCATTGGCGATTGTTGCAGTTGGTGGCCTTTTGGCTTTGAAAGACTCGAGCAGGATAAACGAATGGGAGATGGTTCAACGTCACCTTGGAGGTGAATTCAGGAAAACCGGAAAGTTTGACAGAGTTAAACGTATACTTGCCTTAAGCTACAGTGATCTATCTTCCACACTCAAGGCTTGCCTTCTATTTACCAGCATCTTTCCTCAGGATTATATGATACCTTGCAGAGATGTGATATATCTGTGGGTTGCTGAACGATTTGTGGAACCCATGGAAGGACAGACTGCTGAAGAAGTTGGATGGGATTTTCTCAAAGAACTAGAGAATAGAAGCCTAATCCAGCTGAACCAGGTACTTTATAATGGCTTACACAATTACATTCATATTCATGATCTTCTACGAGAATTTTTGGCCTCCAAATCCAGGGAGCATAACATGATGACCATACTTAGTGGTACACAACAGATAGGAACCGAGTGGCTAGCTAGAAAGGCAATCGCAGGCTTGTATTGCACTGTAGTCTCACCGAAATGATCATTAGCCCCGAAAACCATCATTCTATGAGTAATATTAGATCCATGGTGAATCTTGGTAAAAAAGGAACACCATCCAAAGCTATAATAACCAAGCTTTTAGCCAGCAAGTTGTTAACCAAAGTTGACCTATCAGGCATCAATTTGGAAGAAATTCCAAAAAAGATTTTCAAATTATTTCAGCTCAGGTTTTTAAGCCTGAATGGGGATAAGATTGAAAAAGTCCCAAAATCCATAAAAAGGCTTCCAAATCTGGAGTATTTAGATCTCAGGGGGACTAATGTAAGGAGATTACCCATGCAAATCAATAAGCTTCACAAACTTCGTCTTCTATTACTACACCAGCCTGCCTCAAATGCTTCATCTTTCCCATGTGATGGATTCAGGGCTCCATCTGGAATTGGAGAGCTTCTTGAGTTACAAACATTAATGGTCATAGATGCAGCAGAGAGCGATGAAACTGAAGTAGTGAACAAGATTGGAAATCTGTCCAAATTAAGAGCATTGTCAATTACAAACTTGAGAAGGGAAGACGGAAAAGAACTCTGCTCCTCGATTGAGAAGCTGAGCTATCTGCAGTCATTAGCAATCGCTTCTTCGGAAAAAAAATTAAATTGGATCTAAGTCATCCTATATCTGAATTATCTCTTCAATGTCTTTGCTCTCTCCATTTGTATGGCTACTTGGAAAAGATCCCAGCCTGGATAAAAAAATCTTCAGGGATTAGGGAGTATCTCATTGGGTTTGAGTAATTTAACTGAAGATCCACTTGAGACTCTTCGACATCTTCCTTGTTTGATATTCAACTCATTGAAGCTTACCAGGGAAAAGAATTATGTTTCAAGGCTGGATATTTTATAAAGCTTAGGGAAATGGTTTTGATGGGTTTAAAAGGATTGAGGCATGTGAGAGTTGAGAAGGGTGCAATGCCTGGTATCACTCAAGTAACTATGGGTGAACTTCCATTGCTTGAAGAATTACCTTTTGGTGTTGAAAACTTGAGGCAGCTTCAAGAGATGGAATTGTGGTCTATGAATTCTAACCTCACAAACAATTTGCGAAATGCTGCTGACACTGAAGAAGGAGGTGAAGAAAACAGAAAAATCGCACGCGTTCCTCAAGTCACCATTGGCTACCTCCAAGACGGAGTATGGGAATGTCACAAGCTATCCCGTGAGACGAGTTGTCAAGTGAAGAAGGAATCTCTACCCAAAATCCAAATGTAACAAACTCAGGATGCTAATTCCATATTGTTCCCTTGTTCGGCTGTGGCTATGTATAGCTCCTATTTTCACTACTCCAAGAACCCTGGTTGTTTCTCTGTTGGTTTTTTGTCTCTGTTGGCTCTGTGGCCCCTCACTTTCGCCTTGCATTATTTAGATTTCGAAAGTCGGAGTGTGCTAAATTATAGTGTTTGATGCTTGATATTGAGTACTAATGTTGTTTTTCCAATGTTGTACTGGAGAACTTGTTATCAGGCTCAGTGATTAAATCAGCAAGACTCCACCCTTAGTAGAAGTTGTGACGCTTGTCATATTTTGTTCACTTGTTTTATGCTTTTGAAAATGTCAATTTTGCAGTTCTTCAATATGATGAATTATACAACAGGATGAAAGGTAATGTGAACTGAAGCCAAAACAAAAAAAAAAATTCTTGCCATTTTGTTTGTTGAAATTCTTCATTTATCAAACTTCAGGCAAGTCTTGGTTCACTGTCATTTACCATCACATCATTTTGTAATGGGGAAAACGACCATTTTGCTTCCATAGGTTTGTCCTAATCCATTTTTCAGGCTAAAACTAACTCTGCAGTTTCTGGCCTTTTGGGTATTGCGTATTGGCAAATCTAGTCTTCTCCTTAGGACTGTTGCCAGTTTCACCGATTCTAAATTTTGTGCCCTTTTAAACACAAGGCGGCCCTAAGCAGAAGGTTGGTTCTGCTGTCCTACTGAGAATCTTATCAGTACTTCTATCATTGTAGTTTTCAGGACAAATATGTGTTGCAAGTGAATATAAAACTTTGAGCAAAACTCAAGAAAATCCTCTACATTTGCACAGAGAGCACCTGCTGATCTAATCCTGCTTTCATCCACATCAGTAGGGTATTTATGCAGCAACAAAGATGAGACATTCTGAATATACATGTCGGAACTAAAAAATTTTGGGTGGCAATTTGTGGACGTCACAAAATTGAGCAATAAAACTTGACAAGGTTAACTATATTAATGGACACAAACATGACCTATTTATTGAAGAATAGCATGAATTCAACTCAAAAGTTGAGACTACAAAAAATGTGCCACCTTTATCTTGTGGGAACGTGAAAGACACCTGACACAAAGATTTCCAATGTCCGCCATTGCAGGGTGACGAATGGATAAAAAATATCAGCTTTCAGTCTGTTCATAGCGTCAGGTTAGGCTGCAAACAACACTCTACTTCGCCACAAGCTTAGCTCTCGCATGACCGTGATAGATTTGAAACTGTTGTGTAATCCCAAAATGTGCCATCAGAAGCCAGACATGAGTGAGGAGTTCACCCCCTTTGCGAAGCTGCTGAACATGATGATTTCCTCTACAATGCGTGGCAGCATATGCAAGCATCTCCACCCAAACATCAGTAATCTCATTCCATCTGCTAACCTTGTCCAGTGCTCGGAGTTTTTTCGCCAGGATACATGCGTCAAACAGCACAGTTTTGCTTCTGTCTCCCTTGACTTTCAAAGGGAGAACTTCCGTATTTACCTGAAGTAACTTGTCACAAGCTTTGCTTTTCTTCTCCCCTTTTTCGAACTTTATCTCCTTGAAGAACTGCTTAGCTTCAGCACATGTATCACGGAACCTTATCAACCCTATTCCTATTGGCAATGTGAAAGGGTGTAGGACTAGGAGATGCAACATATAATCTGATAAATGCTTGCTTTCTCTATGCTTCAGACTAGAATCAGAAGAGCTGTGGCCTTCATCCAAACAATAGCAGATATCAGTAGCAATGTGCCACATCAGCAAACTCTGATCGAATTCAATCTCCTCCTGATTAGTCCACTCAGATAAAAATCTTTTAAGGGCTAAACTATCTCTTCGAGTACATAGTGCTGGAGGACCAGGTTCATTTTCTCCAGCAAACTTCTTTTTTTTTTGAAAAGTAGCAAACTTCTTGAAATGGTCAAAAATTAGAGTTTTCAGATCAGGAGAAACCTCCACATATGTCTTGTAACGATGCTTTTCTCGAAATTCAACCAAACCAAGGAGTCTCTGAAATTGATAACATACAGCAGGCCGTTCCTCCAAGCAAACGCTTAGCAAGTTGTACTGTGCCATTGAATTAGACCACCTTCTTCTATTTGTGACCTCTGAACAAGTACCATTGAGGTACTCACGAATCTTATGATGTTTACGAAGCCAGTGAACCATCCAGTCTGACTGCAGTTGAATGATCACAGCATAAATCTCCATAATAATAGCCACAAACAGCAGCAGATAAGTGAGGATCAAGTTTATGATGCGATATTTATCCCTCTCACAGAGAACCACAAAGAAGATTAAAGCCAAGAAAGTGCAGGAAAAAGTAAAAACACGTAAAATGCAGCCTGCCATGGAATACACTATAGGGGCCTTGGTGTAGAACATATCAAATGCAAGACCAAGTTCAACCTCAACAACTTTAAAAGCTTGTCCTGAGTCAAGACTCAGGAAGTAGGATTGGCTGCTGTCTCTATCTTGAAAACTGAGGATAAGATCAACAAAAAGACGTTTAAATCTCTGAAACCTATCATGAGCCACTGATATTAACTTTTTGGCATCATCAGCAGGATAAGAGACTTCATCATCAATCAAAATGGGATGCTCTCTAACCTCATTCGTGACCACAGAGAAACCCCAAGCCTTCTTCAAAGTATACTCCTCCATGAATTTAGCATAATTAGGTCCTGGATCAGGGGAAGTGAGCATAGAGTCCCTGAGGCGATCCGTGTTTGCCAATCTTAGCGCCAGAGTTCGCTCCAGAAACTTGATTAAGCCAGCCAAGAAAATGAGTATACTCAAAATAGGAAGCCAAGAAGAGCCAGGCAAAGTAACAAGCAGTATATATAAAGCCAGTCCAGTCTGAATGACAAGTCCAACCAAATGCCTCAACCAAAGCTCATTATCTTGGGGTGCATAAGCTGTAATGGTATCAGGACCACCAAGATGAAGCAGAAGAAATGGAGTCCAGAATGACATGAGCTCCTTCATCGCCGTTCGGTCACCGCCTTGTTTATTATCTTCAAGAGTGTCCTGAGAAAGGACACCAAGCGCAACAGTAGCAACCCAATCAGCCAAAATGTAAGCAGACCAGATAAGAAATCTGATCCTTGTCCTCTTTCCCAAATACTTCCTCTTGTGCCCCAGCACAACCAGCACAACTTGAAACATCAGGCTGAATAGAATCAAACATTGAACCTCCCACTTTTTCCATGCTTGCTTCACATCATCAGGGAACACATCAAAAAGTTTCCTCCTCTCCACATATATTAAAGCACTTGTTGCTACTCACACCAACAAAAGAGAAGGGAACACAAAACAAGAACAAATCAGGAAACAATAATACAATGCAAAACTAGAAAGAACAATGGAGTAGCTGAATATGCAGGAGGTACCTGTGAATGACATAATCAATAATGATTCAGATGTTATAGTATCCCTGTTAAGATTACCTGCGCTATGGCAAGAACAGGCAAGAACAGGTCAGAAAAAACTACTGCCATAGATGCAGATTATAAACTGAAACTTGACAAGTTAAATGGAGAAGAAAAATCATCAGCAAATGGAAAATCTGCAGAAAGAATAGAGGAAAGCAGACAGAAAGTACTATTTTCTAATTCATTAATTTAGTTGTAATAATAGAAATGACTTTGCAGTTGACTTCTTTTGTTTGTTTTTTTCAGTGTACTTTTCTTGCTTCTCCTCTTCATGGTTCATGCTTCATACTAGTACACAGAACTGGTTATCATCTTTGACTGCACTGTAGAAGTTAACTCTATGTTCGAAAAAAAAACCTTTTTCTTTATTTTTTTATATGTCTTTGAATAAACACACAATCTCTGATAGCCACAAAATTTGGTAAAGAACAATTTGGTTTTTTCTTCTTCTTCTTCTTTCTTTTTTCCCCTCTATCTTTAACCATACCTAACAAAGATTTGTTTTAACTTCTACTCTTTTTTTTTTTTTTTTCTGAGGGTAAGATTTGTCTTAACTTAGTTATGATTGACAACAATCATTTAAATTTTAGTAAACATATATGGGGTAACCTTAGAAAGAATACTAGCAAATGTAGACATGTAACCTTACACTTTCCAAGTAAAAGTTACTTTCTCCGTCTGAATTGATTGTCTGTACAACAAATATAATAATCATTTTGGGACGAAGGAGAGTGAAAAAAAAAAAAAAACAACACGAAAATGCTTTAGTAGTTACAAGCAACATGTGTCATTGCATTTTGCATGTGTTAATTTGCAGAGAAAGTGGATTGTACTGCAGTAGCATTTAGCTTTGAAACGAACCACTGTTCTTTCAGGTATTGGGGATATCAACAGAGATTAGCAAGACTATGGAGATATTGCTTTGATAATCTTGCTATCACGTCAAATAATTCCCAAGGAAATCAATAGGTTGTCTGAACCATTACACACAACTGGATCCGGTTCACGACTAAAAATTAAAACCCTAGTACCAAATTCCAAGTACCACTGGAGTTTGTGTAGCAAGAAGGAATACTTAACATTGGGATTTCTTATGTTCCAAGTTATTCACTCATCATTGTTACAAACTTGACATTCTCTAGGCTGACAAACCAAACAAGATTGTATCGCCCTTGACAACACAGCTCTCCCACACGCAAATTTCACATTTTTGCATTACCTTATTGTGCCGATTGATCAATTTAATCAATTGTCCGAAAGAAGGAGATATTACACAAAAGTATTCAAGCTTCTCCAATGGCATTGTTAATGTTGGAAAATTGAGTGTGTCGTAGATTTGAGTTTTGGAATAAGAGCAATTCTTATATAACAAAAAAAGGAAATACAGAAAACAACTCCAACGTAATCGGTAAATAATGGAATACTCCTTCCCTCCCACAAAAATAGTCCAGTTTAATAAAAAAGTTTATTCTCAAAAAATAATCCAGTGTCACAGAAGTCAAAATTAATTGAAAAGTCAAAATTAATTGAATTGAAATGATTTAAATATCCAAAGAATAGTGGTAAGGAAAACAAGGTTCAATTCCTTTGATTTTGATTTTTATTTTTTTTTTTTAGTTTTCTCCCATTTTTTCAAATGATTATATCTTTTAATACATGAATAATTAAAAAATGTGTTATATATCAAATTAATCTATGTAACGAGATCTTTTCATCAAGGTCCATTGTCAATATTTTTTGAGATAAAAATTTTGATTAAATTTAAGTTGTAAAATAAATGCATATGTAGTTAACTTTTATAGAAATAACTAGAAGGGACATTAGTGAAAATTATGAGTATAAAATGAGTTGTACATTTGGTGTATAGACTAAAATTTAAAAGTTGTACGTTTTCAAAATGGAATATTTTTCTGGGACGGAGAGAGTATATCTTTAGTAAATACAATTATAAGGGTAGAGTGGTCATGGAAGATAATTTTCACATCTTTAATAATGATTACGTCCTTAAGAAGAATTTTAAAAGTTTTACACCCTTCCTAAGAATTATTAAAGTTGCAATGCTCTTAATAAGATTTTTTCCTTTTTTATTTGGCATTTAGTTGGGCTTCATTTTGGTTGTAAAAATGATGATGTTAATTTGTACATAAAGTTTTTTTCTTCTTTTGCCCAAAAAGAAAATAAAAATAATGACAAAATAACAAAAATAATAAATAGATCTAATCAAATGTACTCCTAATGTCCGAAAAAATCATGTATTGTAAATTTTAAATTGTACTAAAAATCTACAATTTCTAGATTATATATTGCGGAGCACTTTTGCGGAGTGAGTACAAAGTCAAAGCTACCAAGAATATAGTACTTTATTGATTACTTCGTGAAATTACTTCTTTTTCTTTTTACAATTTTTACAAGCACTTAAGGTATTACATGTGTGAGTTTGGGGGAGAGAGACCTAGCCTAGTCTAGTGGGGGACGATTCCACACCTGCAACGCCTCTTTCTACACGTCTATCGGGTGCTTGAGGAGCTTCCAACTGCAACCTGCAAAGAAATTTAGCATTTTGCTGCCGTGGGGTTTCGAATCCGTTAGATGCCTAGCCCTTTACCACTTGGGTCATCCTCTTTTGGCTGTGAAATTGCTTGGAACGGCATCTTCTAGGGTTTTCAGTAAATAGTGAAGTTTTGAAATCAGTGATTAAACTGTTTGTAGAACAACAAATTCTCCTGATTAAGAACTTCACTAATGCTGAAATCAAGGCCGCTTTATTTAGTATTGATGTTAATAAGTGTGCGGTATCAGATGGGTTTAGTAGCGGTTTTTATAGATGGTCATGGGAGGTCGTAGGAGATGATGTTTGTAAGGCAGTAGTAGAGTTTTTTAGATCAGAAAAAACTTTTAAAGCAACTGAACACCACTCAAATATGCCTGATCCCAAAAACTTGAATCCACAAAATGCCACTGAATTTCGTCCCATTTCGTGCTATAATACAGTGTATAAAATCATCACCAAGCTACTTAGTACGAGACTCAGTTGTGTTCTGCCCTCCCTTATAGACCTTAACCAGGGTGCTTTCATAAAAAATAGGTCAATTCTCCATAATGTCCTCCTGACCCAAGAACTTATTAGATTCTATCGTTGGAAGAATGTTAAACCTGTTGTTTATTTAAAGTTGATCTCAGAAAGGCCTTTGACTCCATTCACTGAGGTTTCATAGAAGAAATCTTGATGTCCTTACATTTTCCCCCCAAATTCACAAGCTGGGTGCTCGAATGTATAACTACTGCCAGCTTCACTCTGAATCTAAATGGTCAAGCAACAGGTTTCTTCCCAGGAAAACGAGGATTAAGGTAAGGGGATCCTATGTCCCCCTTGGTGTTTGTCATCGTAATGGAGTACTTGATGAGATTATTCCATAGTGAAGTTGATAAAGGAGGCTTCAAACTTCATCCATTCTGTGAAAAATTCAAGCTAGTTTGTCTCTGCTTTGCTGACGACCTAATTATCTGACGAGTCATAAATTAACCCTAGTCCTATTGGGCCTAGGATTAGGTTACTTGGAGATTAAGTAACCGCCTAAACCTAATACGACTAGGTTTCAGGAAACAGGTAACACCACCTCTATATAAAGAGATGGTGCCTCTCCCATAATACATATCTTCTACCTATCTTCTACACCTTCTACACACGATACACATTCCTCTCTCTCTACTCTCTTTATTCCCTTATTGACTTAAGTATCGGAGAGTCTACCCTCGGGAGACACCCGAGGCTCTGTCTTGCAGGTTTTAGGCCATCCGCCGCCGCTTAGGTCATCATCGCCACCCGTCCTAAGGCACCGTGCAGATCCATGCTTCGTCAAGTGGCACGCCCGGTGGGACCGATTTGTTTGGTCTTCACAACCAAATAAATTTCTTAGCGAAGCATGGAATCTTTTATATCTTTCGCAGCCATGGTGTTAATTCGTTGCTCCGATTTTGCAACTAGAAGATCACGCAAAAAATTATCTTTGTTTGGCTAAGAAGACGTCAGCCGACAAGTAGCACAAAGAAGCTTTCGATTTCACAGATGATCGAGGAGTTGCACTCGCTCCACAGCTGATCGAGAAGAACAATTAGCAAGGGGTAACCTCGAAGATAGAAGTTTCGAGAGATACATCTCCTCGAAGGGGCAAGTATCACTCGAGCACCTTACTACTACTCGAAGTGTTCGAGAAGACGTATCTCGACTTTTAGCTACTCAACTACTATCTTCTCGGAATTGAGGCGACATTTACTCGAATAATCAATTTATTACGAGGTCGAGGTACTTCTAAAACCTTTTCATGCTTTAATATCTGATATCATTATCATATTACTATCATATCACGATATCTAGCACGATCAAAGGAATCTTTCGAGAAATCAACCCTCTAGGGAAAAATCCCATCACCCTGCAATGAGGAAAATCACCTCGGGATTGCCTTCAACGAGGAAAATGTACTCGGGGCACAACCTTAGGGACAAGGAACTTGAGAGATCATCCTAACATCCTCTGCTTCGTCATTATCATCAGTCAACCAGATATCCCAACTGTTAGAAGAATCAAGAAGGTCCTCCAGGAATTTGAAGCCACCACGGGACTGTCAGTCAACATTCAGAAGTCTGATATATACTTCGGAGGAGTTAAACAGGAAATTCAATATCAGATCCAACATATTATTGGCTTCAAAGTTAGCAGCTTCCCATTAAATATCTGGGAGTGCCCATTTCTCTTACAGCATGGACCCAAGGTGATTGCAATAGTGTGGTGGAAAAAATAGTGGCTCGATTGAAATGCTGGTCCTCACAACACCTAAGTTATGCAGGGAGGGCTCAGTCTAGTAAACTCTGTCTTGATGAACTTGCACTCCTACTAGACATGTATATTTATGCTTCCTAAGTCTTTAATTGTACAAATTAAGAGATATTGTAGAGAGTTCTTATGGGGAAAAGAGGATTCTCGGAAAGCTTGGTCATTAGTTGCTTGGAATGATGTTTGTCGTAGTAAGAATGAAGGGGGCCTCCATATTAGAAAGCTAGATCTGTGGAATCAAGCTATGATCGGTAAGCAGATTTGGAATATTGCTGCTACTAAGGAAAGTGTTTGGATTCGTTGGGTCCATTCTTATTACCTTAAAGGCAAGAGTATTTGGGATTATCAGCCTCCACAAGACTGTGAATGGCACTGACGGAAACTAATGAAGGTGAAGGAGAAATTGCAGCAGGGAATGATAGGTAATTGGATAGGGCAGAAGGGAAAGAGTACCGCCAAAGAAGGGTATTAGTTGTTGAGACGAAACTGTGAAAAATGGAGGGAGGCAAAACTTGAATGGAGTACTTATAATGTTCCAAGGCACTGTTTTGTCAGTTGGCTGGCATTCAAGAATAGATTGGCCTCTCAGGAAAGACTAATGAAGCTGAATATGTTTTCAGGAATTTCTATTTGTGAATTATGTGACTCCCGGGAAGAGAATATGGATTACTTGTTCTTCTGTTGTCCTTATTCACAGAATTTGCTATCTTTCATTTTGAAATGGCTAGGTCTGAATATAAAAGTTAGAGGGATCTCAATTTCTGTTAGAAGATTGCTGAATATCTGGAAGTTTCAAAAGCTGAAGCAAAGGATTTTATTTGCAGCTGTTGTGGAAGTTATTTACCATGCACTGTTCTCGAGTAAACGACGCATGGCGCGAGATTTTCATGGCAAATCAATTAAGATCTTCGAACTAACGGCCATTATGTCATCACCTGACTAAACGGATTACAATGAGATTCTGTAACACAAACACATATACACAACTAAGCAGGGGCCAGTAATATATACACCATGAACAGTGAAATACACTGCCAAAGCTGGGATCTCTTGCGTCTGCATCAGCTTTCTGGAGTGGTTAGCAGACCTCTCTTCGGTAGTCGCATCTGTATTAACATGAGAATCAAATGATTAATCAAACAATGTCAGTGGGTTACAATTATTATATGTATGTACAACTAAACAACCTTTGATTTAGTAGTCCTCCAACCTCCCAAACTCTGCTGCTGGGGTAAGTAAGCGAATTTCTCAATGGGTGGACTTAGACCTGCTGTTTTAAGTCTACATGAACCTGTAGATGGAGATGAATCCTGAACCAAATAGAACTGATATTAACAGAACTGAGGTTTCACTTACCAAATGTGCAAAACTACAAATGATCAAAGATCAAACACTTAAATAATTTATGTTCATGTAGCTTATCATATTGATCTGATACCACTAAGTCTACATGGACACCAACAGATTAGTTGGCCAAGTAGATCTCCAGTGATCTCCAACCAAAAAAAAAAAAAAAAGAATAATCAGATGCAAGGACTTCTATCAATTCTTTACACAATGCAGTGAAAGCCAAAAGGCACAAAACATGATCATGCCACATAGTGCCTTCTAACTAGCTGCAGATAATTTGAGTCTGGCTCAATTTGTAAACCTAAGACAATTTTGTCTACTACCATCTCACAATTTGCTGTCGGTTTCATCTTCAGTTTGCTTAATAATTCTGCAACGAGATTTATGAAACTTGGCACACAATTTAACAGTTAATAGACCTAACGTATTGAACTTGCAGTCAGAAACCTAGAACGAAAACATTACACATTCAGAGATGATTACCTCAAGTTTTGGTGATGTGGGATTCTTGGATTCCAGACCATCAGAGTACAACAATACCTGTAAATAGGATAAACGTAAACAGTGACAAATAAAGTAAACCAGATATCTCAGCTGTGTATATAACTGGAACTTATTGTTAACATTTAAATATCAATAGATGGAAAATGTTTAACACCTTATCCTGTAAGTATGCGTTTGATGCATCAGTGGCCATGACTTGTACGCCAAGACAAGTTGTAGAATCAGGGCAGAATGGGCAAAATATTGTGCTGAATACACAACCATCTGCTTTGCACCAAACACCGTCACTGTTTCTTTCGAAGAGTCTTTTATCAAAAAAGGAAATATCAGATATCAGAACCGGTACACTAGGAGAACATTCGATTCCATTGGTCAATTGCTTCTTTCGTAGAGATCTCAAATGAACTTTGGAAGATGAAGTTAGGGTACACCTAATGCACAAATTATGAGGAAGGCCCAAAGGAGTTTTACACTCTGAGCAAGAGATTCCCAGCCACTTATCCTTACTAAGATCAATAGAAGGCGTGGATAACATTTCAGCACCATTGAATGGTGATGACTGCAGGGATCTTCTCTTTTCCTTGTTCAAGTTGATTGTTTCAGTATCTATTTCCTCACTGCTATGCATGTCAGCTTGTGTTGTATTGCTTTCCACATATCCAACAGAATCAGGAGTTCTGTCAGGTAAACCAATCTGCTCCTTGTGAACACAGTCAGATGATGGATACAAGGATTTTCTCCTCTTATGTGAATAAGAATTAGCACTCAAAGTGCATGGTGACCCTGTTTCTGCTATTAGATTCTTCATTCTGTCATGAACAAGCCTTTCTGGAGTTGAAAGCGAACATATGGACATAACAGCAAGGCTTGAATTCACTAGAGACTGGGGGGGACTTTGGGAGAAGATATCTGGAACCTCATTGGTAGATGGAACAGTTGTGAGACTTGAGTCTTCAATCAGGAACTTTTCTGAAGTCATTAAATGAGAATCAGAAATCAATGCTGGGGTTTCCTTGACAGTGGTTAAATTGGGATCTGCAGGGGATAGCATCGTTGATGCAGGCATGGACAACCTGCATGACAGTAAAATTATCTCATGGTTTATGTTCTATTGTGATTAAATTTGTATTGCAGAGGTTGTTTGCTAAGAGGCCAATTTCATCAAGCTTCAAAGAACATATTGTTCACTTCTAATGGCAAATTTACAAATAGGTTTTACCAAGTGTATATCAGTATGCTGCTATTCATCCTGGATAAGTTCTAGAACAAGTATTTTAACCGGACTTAATTATAAGAAAGAAAAAAAAAAATTCCCCAACAAGGTTTTGAACCCCAATCTGTTCCATCCCGCCCATCCCTCCAACCCAATGGCATTTCATTTTTCCATAAACCATTCGCACCAAAATAAGTAAAGTTTCAACAGAAACTTGGCGTGACTATTCTAACGTTTCAAAAGCTCACAATGTTGGCAAACTGGCAGATTCAATACAAGATTCCTCCAACAGTTAAAGTGGAAGATGGAATATATTTAAAGGTTCCATGTACTTTACCCGGAGTCTTTTTCAGTGTCACTTTCCAGGTCAATACGCATATCTTTCTCTTGTGTGGATATAAACCTTTGAGGATCCATTTTCGGACAAGATTGGTTTTTCATTTCAGAGTATAAAGACCGGTATACCATAGAACCATTTTCATCCTCCACACTAGAATTGGATACTTTTTGACCTGATCTGCACTGTTTTCCATTCTTTATGCTCGCATTTGTATTCCTCTTGTTTTCAGTTACAGAAGAAATTCCTTCAACCGCAGGTTTTGAAATTGATGACGATTCAATAGCTTTGTCAACATGATCCTGCATGACCTCAAATTTAGTAATCACAACATTAAACCTTGATAGTAATACCTATTCAGATATCATAATCACCTTCGCTCTTTTGAAAAATGCTTTTAAATCCTCCAGGGATTTTTCAAAGCTGTCCCAATGTCTAATTGATTTCCTAAACCACTTTGATATGTATGGTCTGTTCCTTTCTTCACAGAAGCGCTCATCTGCAAGTGAAGAATATGTTGAACCAGGAATCATGATCAATAGGATCAAAGGATCATACTTACAATTGAATAGAACTTCAGAATGAAAACTCAAACAGTAATTGCATAAGAATATGGTGATTTCAAAAAGATAAAATTGTCAATAAAAAGCACGACTAATTTAAATCTGCCAACCAGTTAGGCAATATTCAGAACTCAGGTATTCTGATAACATTATTATTATTTGAGTTACCCCTCTAACTCTTGACAAAAACACTAACACATATATGAAGAAAGAAACATCACGAGTACCTAAATATAGAATGCCTCCATAGTCATATCTGTGCCGTATGCAGCGCCCTACAAAAAACAACACAGTGAGCCTCGCATTGGAGAAAAATCATAATTTCAACGTACAAAAGGGGCATATAATTATCACATGCCATCTATCTCCAAACTTGTAATAGCCATTCTTCACCGATCTAAATTTCCCATTCGATATTCCTGTAAATCATTCTTATCCACAACTCAGCCAATCTTAGGCGCATAACTACACACAAAAAAGAAAAAAAAGGGCTAGACTCTTATTATCATCTGCGACTGCACATGGCAACTTAGACTTTGTCTGTTTTTCATTTGGAGAAAAGCTAGCTGTTTCGACACCCAACCCCCATCTCCCAAAAAAAGTATAAATACCAAATGTTGAGATTCATATCTTAAACGTTAAATTTTTTCCAAAATTCATGTCACATTATTTCAGAATAAAAACAAAAAATACTTGCATCCTACCATTTTTTTCCCATCCTTCTCCCTTCAAAAAAAAAAAAAAATCTTTACAACAAAGTAGACAAACAGAGCCTTAAAGATGGAACTCAAATTATCTACGGAGAAGCAAATGACTACATCTTGCTATTTGTAGCAGGAGAAAAGTAGTACACACGCAATTCTTATGACCATTCAGATTTACAAGTGAACAAGACACTGTTTCATGAAATGGAAAGGCAGAAGAAAGATGACTGATAACTTTAGATCACATGCGCTGCAGTACTTTTATTTGCAGTAAAATGACTAGACTAACTATATATCTATGAAATGTATAAATTCAAAATATCTTTAGCATTTAACACACTACAGTTTCCCATAGTAGTGGAGTACCTGTAGCCTGGTTAAGGGCTCGAAATGCTTGATTACAGTACCACTCATTCCCACTTAGAAGTCCCTTAGACAATCTGAATGTATCATTGAATTTCTTCTTTTGGCCAACTAGGATGTCATGTCTGCATGATCAATAAGCCATAAGTGAATTCGTAAAAATAGATACAGCTTCAATAACCAATGAGAAAGAAGAGATGCCTTACACATTTGGGAAGGGAATGCCAACAATTATCTGAAATAGTTAAGCATCAACAAACTAAATCATTGTATCAAATGGCTCTTCCAAATTGTCCTCACATAAATTTGGGGAACATATTCACCTCAAACCACAACTTTTGATCTTTTACATCAAAAAGCAAAGGCTAAATAATCTGAACATAAGAAAGGATACAACGAGTCGAGCATTGTCATCAGAGAAGTCCATGCCTTCGGAAATCTGTAGAGGCGAATATGAATTCATGAATCAAAACACAAAACACACTTCGGGAGCAAAACCAGTAAAAAGATAATCAGTTATTTGGCAGGAAACTTTTTTTAAAAGTAAAAGGAATCAGTTTTTGCAAAACAACTTCAAGAACATCTCCTATCTATGGCATCGAGCTTCTATTATTCAAAAAAGAACTTTTTAATGAGTCGCTAAATCGCCAAATATGCAAAGCTGATTAAAAAATGAAAAGGGATCAGTCTTCCAAAGTATCATGGTGTACTCCAATTTTCCTTGTAACCAATAGAAAATTAAGGTGCATAAACCTTATTATGGCCATGTACAGTGAGATTCTATTAAAATTTACTGTTCACATAGTAGATATTGAGTCACATTGAACAGAAAGGAAATATGGCATAGAAAGAGCAAATCAAACTAACTTTGATCTAAGAACACCAGGACAGTATGGACAAGTAAGAAATGAAGATAGAGTCAAAAAATCTAAGGTTACATTGCCATTCGTGAAAAAATAAACTATCTCAAAATTAAGAACTGAGGTTATATTGTTATTTCAGATAAATAAATAACAAGTACATTTACATTTTAGGATGGCGAACCAAAAAAAAAAAAAAAATTGACCCAGACATGAGCACAATAACACTATGAATTTTAAGAGAAGAAAAGGGACACCAAACTTATAACAAAAACACCTCATTTCTGTTAATCAGTGTAAAAATAATCAAAATTTTAAACATAGTCAACGAATATGAGAAAAGCTACCTTTCCTCGGCAAACAGCAAGGAAAGCAGCGCCTTCTCGTGTAGCATTTTGTGATGATTCCGTAATGTTGTAACTATCTGAATTTTTACCCCTTCTCTTTCTTCCGATTACAGATTTATTCTTTTGATGAATAGAATTGTAATATGCGTTTAATACTGGCGTAAGAGCATCCTGGTTCCCCCCTCTTGGCTCTAATGGAAAACAAATCACAGGAAAAGAATCATTAGAATATGCATTTGCAAAATGGAAGACAGAATCTAGTCCATCCCAGCACTGTAGCTGATTAAAGGAGTAAAAAAACACATTGCAAGAGTCAAAAACATTGGTTGTAATAACTCATGCAAAAAAAAAAAAAACACATGTAGTTTAACGTAATTGAACAAGTATCTACTGTAGTGAACTATACCTATGAAAAGATGTTTCTGTGCATTTAGCCGAGACCATTCACCAGTTTCTTCCCAGCGTTTACATAGTTTGTCCATCAGCTTGTAGCTGGGAAAGAATACAAGACAACCCCCTGGAACGATTTTGCATATCTCTTCTAAAGACGTGCCAAGAGCATCCTACACGGGAGAGAAAGATCAGGAAAAAAAAAATAGAAGGTTGCACAGTTGAGTTGAAGATGATTTGAATTCAATGACTACAGCCTATCAAATATTACCTGGAAAGCAAATGCTTCAGCTGTCTTGTAGCTTGCATTTAGAGGATAGTCTTTTGGACCCTTAGAAATTACGCCGGCCCATAGCTGCAATTAGAACGTGGGAAATAACATTTTATTCATAGTAACAACAAAAGTTAGTTCATAAGCTAAATAAAAACGAACAGAGAAGCATACTTGTGACTCGACATCTATGACATGTGGGGCTTCAAGACAAGTTCCAAACTGAACCCCGAGTTCAGATGAAAAGGAGTTTAATGGTGATAAAGTCCTGCAAAGAAGTGTGACCCGAAAACTTATGCTAGGGCAGCCTATAAAAGGAATCAATTGGATGTTAAGGTGGTTACCCTGATGTTAAAATCACTGATAAGGAAGTATCGGCAATGCCTCTAAAAACCACTGCTGGATTCAAGCACCATAAACTGAAAGAGTATATCCAAGCACCTAGAGATGGAAACTTTCAAAAAAATATGAATAGAGCATTCAATTAACAAGTAAAGTAGTTTCTAGCAGACCCTTGATTTTAACATTCAATAACCGACATGCCTTACAAAGATAATCTAATCTCACAATATTTATTTCAATTAACGAGTAAGCTTTTAACCCTTGTAACATGACAGTAAGTTTACTACTTCCACATAAATTCAGAAACTGCAAACTTAAGGTTTCATTAATCAGGAAAAACACGATGTAAATGGCAATGGATATGTACTGATCATATTTACTTCTCTAGTAAGCTAAAATGATAAACCTTTTTCAGTGTCATCCTTGCACAGGGGCCATGCTAATTTTCTCTGTGTCATTCCGATTTTATTGGAACCTTTAGCCCCTTCCATCAATTCAGATACTTCGTAGCTTCCTGCACATTTTTCACATCAGAAAGATACATAATAACCATTCGTGTGTATACGTCTAATCATAAGTGCCATGTTGCAGAGGAAAAAAAATCTCGTATGTCATTAATAGAAATAGAAGATTATAAATTCCTTCACCATAAGAAAGGACAGGCCTTTGTCACGGTGAGTTCTCAACTTACCACCATCTTTCTTGATATATCTTTGTAATGCAAGGAGATAATCATTAACATGAAGCCCATCTCCGGAAAAGAAGTAACTCAATGAAGAGAACAATCCTGAAACAATTGACTGTATAACATTAGAAAGTGCGCTGCTGGGCACCTTAAGATTAGGTTGACAAAATTATGTACCTTCAAGTACTGTGGCTGATACACCACTCAAACAAGCTACTTCTGGCTCTGCTTCTGCTTCTGAAGCATCTTTTATAGCCTGCAACAAAAACATGACACGGGATGTTCAGCACATTAATGTGATTCAAAAGGCAGAAACTCATTTAATAATCAAACCAAGATAATGAAGAAATTACTTTGATTGCACATTTTTGCAATATAGGGAAGCACTTCCTTGTTACATTAGCTTCTTCTAGCTCAATTAAAGCTTTATCACCAGTCCAACTGCAACGACAGATAACATCTAAGTGTAAGAATGCATGTGCCAAAAGAACAACCACCTCGGCATTGAGGAACACAAATTTATTTTTACTTTGCTGGGTAACTTTTTTCTGTTAACTGTACCCACTTCTAATAATTTCCAGATTCAACTAAACCAAAAGAAACTTTCGAAGGAATTGGACGAAAGGCTCTCATTATTAAGCTAAAAAAATATCAGTTAAGATGTTGTATATATGATTTGACCAACCAAGAAAAATAATGTTGAAAGTCCCGCTTCTCAAGAGTGCTTTTCCTTCGATCAATCCAACTGAAGATGTCCTTAAGCCAAAAAAGGGGAAAGAAAACAGAAATTATGAACAACTATCCATGTAATTTAACAGAAACTAAAAAGTCAATCAACCATCATAAAGATTCATAAGTAAATCAATTAACAGATACCTCTATCATTTCCAATATAGGCTGATAAGTGTCAGGCTCTACGAGTGCAAGTTGACTAAGTTCTGTCTGCAGCTCTGCCAAAACATGTTAAAGCAATAAGTGTTGGCCAAAGTTTGATAAAGAAAGACACTAGTGTGAACTTACGGAGCAAACCATCCTCTTCAACATCAAAACTACCAGCATCACGAGCAACATCCTCGATATTACTGGGCAATAGAACAAACAATTAGTTTGCCAACAACAGCAACATACAGATTTTATTAGATGCATAAAGTTTTTTAAAAAAAAAAATGCTAAAGATAACTTGACTATGCCAATTTCACTTCCACTCAGATTACAAATCTGAATCTCATAGCTATTGCACTAAAAACCTATCCACTGTATAAGGAGAGGTTTTGACTACATACTGAGCTTCATCAAGAATTATAATGGCTCCTTTGATGTCTATTTCCATGGCTCTCCGAATAAGAGGATTAATGATATAGTTATAAGGGCAAAAAACTAATTCGGCATCTTCTGCCAATTCACGTGCTGCAAAGTATGAACAACCTGAAATAGGCAATAGGAGAAACTTAGTAATTATTTCGTCACATAAACAAGACAGAAACAGATTACGCAAGCAATACCTTTCACAACTTCTCCAACTTTAACAAGATCTTCAATGTCGTGGGCCTCATGACAACCGCCTTTGTGAAGAGAATGATGACCTCTGACCTTATGCACATTTCTGAAACAGAAGCTATGTTAGTTTATATCTCTTTCCCAAGAAACGTTACCCTTTTCTCAATAAAGAACTAAACATCTATATAACTCAAATTTTCCAATAATAAAACCCTTATTCCCACAGAAATTCCTCACGTAAATCTAGAAAACAATTTTCCTTCCAACATAGTTTTTCATTTGGCTCCAAAAGTATCTTTCTTAACAAAAATATTCGGAGAAATTTCCAAGCATGGCCACTGAAAGGAGGCAGCACTAAATTATTATAAAACATGACACAGTTCAGAAACAGACATACAATAAGGAATTCTCACCTGCGTTCTGAGCAGCCACCTTCTTTCAGAAGCAGCTTACTGAAAAAGGAGCCAACAGAAATGAGCAATAAAAGAATAAAAAAAATTAAGGAAAAAGTCGTATTTGATCTTTTCAAGAGTAAAAAATCACCATTGCTCATCAACATTAGCAGTCCCACGTATATACATATTTGTACAATAATGCTTCCTTGATGCCTGAGACAAATAAATCAATTACTGGTGACAAAAGAGACTCGCGAATTTCTACAACCTGTGGATTCAGCATTTTTTCAGAATTCAAATGTATAACGTATTCAACTAAATTCCTGGAATTTATGTTATCTAATTCAACCATCTTCGAAACACTCGCATGTCACTAACTTGACCTCTGGCTTTCTAAGCAGTAATTAATCACCTTGAAATGAAATGTAAGTTGATATCAGGAAGCAAAAGTTCTTTAAATACATTGAAAACATACCAAGACTGCCATTTGCACCCGGTAAGTCGTCCTCCGGTACTCTTGTATCACTTGACGTATCTGTGCATGTGTCCTCCTGAACAAAAAAGATGACAATGAAAGGTAGATAATTATCTATATGAGTGTGTTTCTGTGTGTGTGTATGAATGTTTGTGTGTTCACTGGGTCATAAAAATGAATTCCACTGCTACCAAAGATGCTGCACTATAAATCCCCATGATAATAGAATTTACTAGGAAACCTAACACTAACAAATGAAGCTCACAATATACTGTCCATGTAAAATACCAAACAAAAGCCAAAAGTTAATTAATTAAGTGACCTAACAATTGCAAATTGAAGCTCACAACATTTGTGTACGTCAACCGAACAAATTCAATCCAATGCATGATGCACAGCCCCAAAAGTATAATTCAAACTGGGAACAAAACAACATCAAAATTGAAGCTTACGAAGCGTAATAAATTGTCGGCGCCAAGCGAAGCTTCTTCTTTTTATTATCATTTCCAGCAACAGATTCCACATTACCTGAGAATTGAGCCAAAGAAAAACAAGGAATCATTGAAGTACACCACCTCAAAATCGCTTTTATGTTTAGGGACCAGGGAATTAACTAACCAGATAAGGGCTGCTGCGATTGGGTTTGGCTTTCCGGAATAAATCCGCCGCCGCAATTCATCGGGTCGGACAACGCTTCAGGATTAGGCCTGGAGTTCTCCGATGGAAGAACACCACCGCGACCTTTTGTGAGCTTGATATTCTGTTGCCAAGCGAGAGTGGAGCAGAGAAGGGATAGAGATTTTCCGGTACCGGTGGGGGACTCGAGGAGCGCGTGACAGTGACCTTCCCGTTGAGCACGATCGAGAGTGGAAATCACGCGATTCATGTACGCCAGCTGCGTGCCGTACGGCTGCGAGTAAGGGAATTCCACTTGAAGACCTCCGATGTGAAGCACATTTCTTGCCGTCGACATTTTAGGGTTCGCCGGAGCTGGTGGCGCCGTTAGCGGCGTTGGGGGTGAGTATTTCGTCTGAGCTTCCTTCTTCATTTTGGCGTTAATTTTCGCCGGTTTCTTGCCGGACGGCATGCTGTTCATTTTGTTAAACTGAATTTTTTGGGTGATTTTTTTTTCTGCTTTCGAATTTTTAGTGTGTGTTTCGCGTCCTCTGCACTCTAGCGCCATTGTTGTTTTGCTTTTTGGCGGGAGATTTCATTGCTTGGGCCGTATGCGAAATTTTCTTTGAGTTCGATTAAGGCCCAAACACTACTACACTAGGCCTAATTTTCGTGATTTTGTAAAGATAAACAAATGCTTTTTTTTTTTTTTTTTTTCTCCCTCTTTTGGTGAATAACTAGCAGTATGCCAAGTGTTGCTCGGATTAGATGTAAATTAAAATAATGATATGGAACAAATAGTGTCTTTGTTCCATTTTGGATTTTCATTATTGACGGAATTGTTTCGGGACGGGTGGAGTACGTATCAATCTCATTTTTTAGATACTATTATAAAGATGTGTTACAAAATAAACTAATAGGGAATCCATATCGCTTTCTTCATCTCTTTTTTCAAAAAAGAAAAAAAATTAATTTATTTTTTGACCACGTCTTCATCACTAATTTTCTTTTCTAACAAAAGAGTAAAATGTTGAAATAGTCCCTTACATTTGCCCTTAACTTGAATTTACGTCCCTTACATTAACATTTCAATATTGTAGTCTCAAACATTATGTTTTCACACTTTTTTGGTCTCATTTTACTGTTTCGACCATATTTCCGTCCAACTTGATGTTGACCGGCTGTTGACTTGCTGGGGTCAGGGTATTTTCATCCTTCCATCAAATTAAAATCATTAAAAATATTTAAAAAGTCATATTTTAAATTATTTAAATAGTATTTATTAATTTAAAATATTATTATAATATTTTAAAATTTATATTTTTTAAAAAATAGTTTTTTCATTTACCATTTATCTTAGGTAAAAAGTAAACAGTAATTATTCTACATTTTAACTCCGGGCCCACGGTAAATTTATAATTTTACCGGACTACAGTGAAAAATTTAAATTTCAAATTTAAAAAAAATAAAAAAAAAATTAAATTATGAAAAGTAAACAGTTATTATTCTACATTTTAAACCCGGGCCTACAGTAAATTTATAATTTTATCGGGCTACAGTGAAAAATTTAAATTTCAAATTTAATTATATTTTAACCCTGGGCCCACAGTAAATTTACAATTTTTTTTAATTTTTTTAAAAGTAAATTTGAAATTTAAATTTTTCACTGTAACCCGGTAAAATTATAAATTTACTGTGAGTCCGGGATTAAAATGTAGAATAATTACTGTTTACTTTTTACTTAAGATAAATAGTAAATGAAAAACTATTTTTTAAAAAATATAAATTTTAAAATATTATATTTAAATTAATAAATACTATTTAAATAATTTAAAATATGAAATTTTTAATATTTTTAATGATTTTAATTTGATAGAAGGTCAAATTACGTGAAAGGACGAAAATACCCTTGACCCCGGCAAGTCAACGGCCGGTCAACATCAAGTTGGACGGAAATGTGGTCGAAACAGTAAAATGGGACCAAAAAAGTGTGAACACGTAATGTTTGGGACTACGATATTGAAATGTTAATATAAGGGATGTAAATTCAAGTAAGGGCAAATGTAAGGAACCATTTCAACATTTTACTCTTAACAAAATCTCTCAACCAACTAAATATGTAGTAAATGCCTAATTTTGCAGTATATAGTCATAATATTAAAAAATTTATTTCCAAGATAATAGTTTAATATAATTCACTTTTCAAATCCTATAATTAATTAAAAGTATTAGTTTAAGGATATTATAATAATATTAATAACTATGTATCATTTTATATAAATTTAAATCTATAAAAAATATGCGGGTTTTCTTAAATAAAGTCAATCATTATTTCCCAAAGTCGACATTAATCTTTCTTTACAAACATTTTCAAAAAAAAAAAAATTCATTGAATGGGAGTCTGTAATGATTAAAAAATAATTTACTGCTTAAATTTTTTTATTTTTATAATTTCAAAAGATGAACAATTTTGGATTTTGTAAATCTTCTATATCTTACTATATCAGAAACAAAAACCACACTTATGAGAAAGCATCACCATTTGCCATGTGGCATTTCCACATCATATTTTTAAAATAAATCTTTATTTTCACATCTCCTAGACTTAAAAGGTAAATGCAGTCCAAATTCACCTCCACCTCCTATTTTTGCCAAAACAAAAAAAAAAAGACGGGTTCATAAAAAACCCAAATCCTCATCCCCATCTCCACGACAATCGACTCCCTAATCAATCCCTTCTCCACAATAAAAAAAAAAAAACAAATTCTTCATCAATCATCAATTGAGAATATGTGGTGAAATATACTCATTTCCTATTAGTATGTTCAATCTTTTCATTAGTGATGATCAACTACATCCTGATCAGGTAATATAATGTGATTTCTTATATAGTTAGTTAGCCTATAAGTTTTGTATGATTTTAGTTCTGTTTGGATTGAATTGATTAATTGATTTTTGTTACAAAGTGTGGTTTTTTAAATTTCTTTTTAATGTTTCATTCAATTAGAGTAGTTTTCTTTTTTTAATTATGGAGTCTCAGTTTTTTTCGTATATGGTCAGTTTCGAAAAGTGTTTTTTCTTTGTTTAATTGTTTTTTATTTTGTTTCATACTCCCAGTTGACCAATTATTATTATTATTATTTTATTTTATTTGCAAATAAAACGCATTTTTTTTTGTGTTCAGACTTTCAAGAATATACTTTTTGAATTTTGGTTTTTGGACTTTTTTTAGTTTCTCATCATCTAAATAGTTCAGGTCGCTTCTTCTAACTAATTTTTGGGGAAGCCTTTTATGAATTTAAAGCGGAGAGGGAAAGAATGATGTTTCTACATTTATTTGTATTTTATACAACATGTTTACCTACAGAAAAATAAATAAATTTCTCAATTTTAAATGGACTATCTTTTACTTTCTTTTTTTTTTTTATTTGCCATTGTGAAGTGAGTTCTTTTTTGGGATAACTTGAAACCTATGCAAATTTATATTATTTTCATTCTCATATTTGTGATCAACCAATTTCATCAATTAACCAGTTTCAAAATTATATTTTTGATATTTTACTACTTATAAACTTTTGGAAGAAATAGTTTCAACAATTAAGCATATACTCTTGGGAGGAAGCTTACTACAAAGCTATTATAAATCTCCAAAACTAAGTATTGATTTCGCACAACTGGAGAATATCAATAAATTATCTTACTAATATTTAAACTTATTAGGATGCTTTTATATTTTGTCTAGCATTTAATTCAAGACATATATTTGATCAAGTTTATTTATATTTAAGAAGTAACACTTATAAAACATTTCTAAAATCTTCAAAGATTTCTAAAACGTATCGGATCAAATACAATTTCTTTTTATGCCAAATATAAACTTTTTTATGATTACACTTATAAAACATTTCTAAATTTTTCAAACATTTCTAAAATATATCGGGCCAAATACAAATATTTTTTTTCCAAATACAACTATTTCTAAGATATACATATATATTGGGCCAAGGTCGAGTATTGAGCGACCAGACATCACTAGTCTATCTATATACTAAACAGAAGGCTATTGAGCAGCTCTTCCCGCCCATTCCCCTCCCCCTGCCACGTGTCGTCTTCTCCTTCATTTTTTCCCGCCCAACAAATATTTTTAATTATCCTTTCAAAGCACTCTTCTTTCCAAGTCCTCTTTTTTTTTTCTTTTCTACTCTCTTTCAGAAGCTTTGTTCCCGCTCCCCTTCATTCTTCTTCTTCCTGCATTTCAGCTTCCTCTACTTTTATTTTGTTGTCTCCATAATCGAACCCACTTCTTGCCCACTCCCAAGAACCTCAACCCTAATCGAAATTGAAATCGACTTCTACTGATGAAAATCATCACCTCCCAAAAAACCGGCAGCGACGGCGGCTATCTAGACTTTCTGGGGTTGTTGCTGGCGGCGGCGGCGGCGGCGAAAATCATCACATCGCACAATACTCGTCTAAAATTGTTATTCCTAATTATTTGTTCAGTTTGGATTGATTGTTGAGTTGTTAATCGTGATTCATCCGGCCATCGTTTTATCAAGCCAGTTAAATCGCTGACGACCATCTCCTCTGCCCTTCGTGTTTGATGTTTCCAATACTCAGTTCGAGGATGCAAACTCCTAGATTGTTCTTGCGGAAGGATGGTAAGCCTTTATATATCTGTTTCAATTCTCTGGGTTACATTTTCAGTCTCAATTTCTTTAATGTTCTTTTATTTGGCTCCAATTTGTGGTTAATTTACTTTTAGGTTGAAATTGCTCGCATTGTTTGGATCTTCCTATTTCGCACAGTTGGTACTTTCTTCTATTGCAAACGAGTTGGTCTCAGTTCGTCCATCTTTTGAAGTCATCAACACCAGGTATGTCAAAACCAAATAACCCGTTTCTTTTCGGTTTTCCTTTATTCTCATTTTGATTTTGAGATTCTAATTTTCTTCCCACCGTAAACAAAATTAGCATCTTCAATTTTTCCTTTTGATGTGATATTGGGTTTTCTTTGTTGGATTACAAAGATGATACATGAAGGAAAAAGGACTAATGACTATTCTATACAAAATTGTGACCAGAAAGAGACAGAAGTTTTTTGGAAGCAGTACCAACTAATTCCAGGTGCATTGTTGATTTTGTGTAAATTTACAGCAAGACTAATAGATGTGCGAAAAGATTTGTCCCTGAACTCATCTAAACTTCCAATGTATTATGATCTAAGAATAGTTGATGCTCTTTATTTTGTACATGTGAAAATAAAAGGAGAATTAGTGATCTCAGGTAATTTGTATGACCCAGAAAGATACACTTGGTTGATGTGAATTTGTAAAACCCAGAATAGACAAATGTTTGAATTTGTTTAAGATTCAGAAAGGTAATAAAAATCTATCAAGGCTCAAAGGTTATATAAAGGTTGTTGCTATCAAATCTCCTGTCTTCAATGAGCGGAAAAATCACTACCTATATGATATTGCAGTCTTGTCAGGAGGTAGAATCAAGAATCAGAAGTTGATTCGAATTTTATGACTTGTACTTACGAAACGGCGTATCTTTCAATGCTATT